AATCCCAGCAGATCAACAGTTTCTGAAAGACCAGCCTGTCTGGCACCAACAATCACACCTTTTCCAAAATCACTTAAATTACTTGTTGTGATTCTCGGTTTGAACTTCAGCTGGTTGTCTCAACATGGTGCTTTCAGTCGTGCAGACAAAGTTATTTGATTGGCTGATTTAAGAATTTGCACTGGTGTACCTAATGAAATGGAATGAGTGCATAGCTCTAACATTCAGATTTAACAAACACGACCCAGAAATGAGCCTCACAGGTGCTGGAAGATGGATTTTTGTAGTCTTTGGAGAGACTCGTGGTTTCCATGGTGTCATGGAGGGTGTGTGAGTGATGGAGCTCTGCAGTGCTGAAGCCCAATAATGTAGTTATTGTGTTGTTCATGGCTAAGGCAATACACACAGTTACATTTTTGTTTTAGAATTTTTTTCCACATATTTCTATTGTAATAAAAATCCTCGCTCCACTCACCCCTGTTCATTTTCAGCGCCCCTTCACATGGGTTCACTCGGGTCTCATTTTAAAAGTTCAGCTAATATTTCCTTAAACATCAGCCGACTCAGCTGTGCCACTGAGAGGGAGTTGCCCTTCATCGTGTCCAGTGTTCAGTTGGAGGTGTGCGTGATGGTGGAGTCGTTTGTTTCGGAAGCTCGGCGCCGAGTGTGCGGTCGACAGTGAAGCAGCAGACGAAGCTCCGGGGAGACGCTGCTGGAGAAGGCGGAGTAGATCCAGGGGTTGGTGCAGGAGTTTAGACTGGCCAACAGCATCAGCAGGGTAAACGCTACACCTGTGTACACACACAGGAGGAGGAGGAGGTCCGTAAATGGCACAGGGGACTGCAGATCAGGCCATCAAGTCAAACTCTGCTTCAGGGTGGTATCTTTGGTAGCCCTAAAGGTACTTATTGTAGTCTTGTATATAAAAGTTTATTAGAGAGTTTTAAAGTTAACACAATGACTTCATGTCTAAGGCATCTTTGTGTTGTACAGTTTGGACCCTGCACCAGCTGTCACAGGATGAGAGGCGGAGAAACACCCTGACAGATTACTGCTCCATTTAAATTGGGTTAAAGGTATTTATGTAAAGTTATTTAATTTTTTTTTAGGGAAGTAGAGAACAAAAAAATCCTTAAAATTACATCAAGTTGGTCTGGCAGGACTGTGTGTGTGTGTGTGTGTGTGTGTGT